GGAAGGATGGATGGATGGATGGATGGATGGATGGATGGATGGAGGATGGAGGATGGATGGATGGATGGAGCAGGTGGAGGAGGCCTCTTTAAACTGCTCATCTCTCCATCTCTGAACTGATGAAAGGAAAACTGCACTCAACCAATTAGTCAGTCAGCATTCTGTGTGTGTGTGTGTGTGTGTGTGTGCATGTTGGCTTTACTACAGACAGTTTTTAAAGATAATTACAAATAATTATCGCCAATTACGTTCAGAACATTCCAAAAAAAGAAAATGAGTTTGAACTCAACATCAAAAATCTCAATTACTAGGACAAAAATGTTCATAAGAACAGGGGAAGAGAAGGAGAGAGATTTTCAGATGCAGGTGCTTCATTCTGCCGCTCTTCCTCTTCCTCATCCTCCTCTTCCTCTCTCAAATGGTCTAAATCACTCTCAACACACACACACACACTCGAGTGGAGAGGCGAGTTGAAGCAGAGACGCTTCCCTGCAGTTTCTCTCTCTTGTTGGATCATCATTGATGGAAAAGGCAGGGATCAATCCCGCAGCGCTGATCCCACTTTCAATTTTATGAAGAGGGAATAGCAGAGAGCTTTGTAAAGCACACACACACACACACACACACACACAAACTCGAGCCAGTTCACACTCGTGTTCATATGTCGCCTGCAGACGACTGGTGAACTACTGTCATCTTTCTCATGTCTACTGAACGTCTGATTCATATCAAACACAAACTCACATCAGCAATGCAATACAATACCAAAGCAAACGTACACAGCATAAACTAACATTACAACACACAGTCTATTTTAAGTTACATCAAACTATTTTTGATTGATTATTTTCAGTATTTAATGTATGTAATTTAATGTAATTTTAGTTGAATTATAAATTATAATATATATATATATATAACACAAACGGCTACTTGGCAGCTACAAATAAATGAGTTTAATTTGAAATACTAAAATAAGTTTAATTTGAAGTACAAAAATTATTAAAGCTGAAACAAAAATTAATTAAAGTATGCTAAAAACTTAAAAATGACAATTATCATCAATAAAGATGAAGTAAAATATAAATAATAAATGAAAACTTAAAAAACTTGACAATTAACTGAAATAAATTAAGTACTAAAATTACTGAAATAAAAAAATAACTCTGAATAGAAATAAATGACTAAAAATCAAACTAAAATTAAAATGAAAACTGAAAATACAAAATAAAAGCTAATTCAATATATGAATACATCCTATAATAGTTTACATAAATAATACCAAAATAACACTGTGATCAACATTAAAGACAGAGGAGAGATTCACACACACTGATGGTGGATTAGTGTGTGTGTGTGTGTGTGTGTGTGTGTAGTACTCAGATCACGAGCGTCCTTCAAACACCAGCACACACTGATCAATGATTACAGAAATGTTGAACACACACACACACACACACACACACACACTTAGTTTACCTTAATGATGCATAACATATCAATTGCCTTACATCAAATGCTGAACTATATGACAATAAATGACAGTGTGTGTTCGAGGTGCTGTAACTAATCACCATATTTTTAATCACATTTTTGCTTCACAAATGAACTCTTCTTCTCTGATGTGCTGGTGTTTCTCTGCTCTGCTCTCGTTCTCTCTCAGTCAGACTCATTCATTCCAGCGTAACATCTTTCCTTCAGGGCATCATACGGATCTCTACCTCTGATATCCGTCCATCCGCTAGCTCTGTGTCAGAAATATCAAGCACCTCCCAAGAGACTTTCATCATGAAACCCCATCAGCCCCTGTGTCATGTTAACATCCCTCCATCTTTACCTTTACCTCTCTCTCTGACGATAAGCCATGACACACACACACACACACACACACAAACACAGAAGACCAAGGTTTACATAATCAGAGACCTGTGTGTGTTCGACCAGAAACACACTCTACACAAATACACACGTGCTTGACCAACACACTAAACGTGTTCTTGTGTAACTGTAAAACTTCAGTACTCAAGACATTAAACCAGGTGTGTTATTAGTCAGGTAGCTGCTGTAAACATGTCCAAGTTTTACTCACTAACTTACTCAGCAAAATTTTCTTCAAACTTTGCTCTGGTATGAAAGTATATGATCTGAAAAAGGAAATTAACCGTAGACGAAAGCTAATGCTGCTGCAGGGAGCCTTGCAGCAATGCTGAGGATGCAACATGCATTTGCGTTGCTTATGAATTTGCAAGCAGACACATTAAGTAACGCAATGGAACGTGAAATCAAGCTTGTGTAGCTGTAAGCATATGTGTTCATGTACTTGAGGAAATACACTGCAGGCAAAAACATTGTTCTTTTTCATGCACTTTGTTCTTTTTGGAAAGAAAACCAAATACAAAACCAATACATCCATAGTTATTAATTATTTTATTACACTTTATCCATTTGCGCTTTAAGATTCCAATTACAATATATATCATTAAAACAAATTTTCTCCACTTCAGCAGCACTTACAAACACCAAAACTTAGAGTTTTATTCATATCTATATTCTGAAGGTTTTTACTGAAGGGTTTGTTGATATATCATTCACATTGATTTATATAACATTTTATTCCT